CACTCCTCCAGGACTTCCCTGAATTATTAGTCTAATTTATGAGTTCATGTCCCGATGTGAGGGTTAAAACCACAACCTCAGAGGCAAGTACTAACAACTGAGCTAGGCTGATGCATTCAATATTCCAATCTAAGCAGTTTCCTATTTGAGAATCAATTCAATGTTTGTGAGAAAGAGTCGTAAGGATTCTTAAAACGTTGTCAGTATAGTTAGAAAATCAGGCTATTGGTAGAAAAAAATATAAGTGAACTAACTAGAATGACTGATATTATCCAGTTCCCTTTGATCACAAAACACTGGCGAAAAATCATAGAATCTTAGAGCACAGAAGGAGGCCATTCGGCCCATCGTGTCTATGCCGGCTCTTTGAAAAGAGCTATCCAAATCAATCCCATTTCCCCGCTCTCTCCCCACAGCTCTGCAAACTTGTCCTCCCCAAACAATTATCTACTTCTCTCTTAAAAGTTGTTATTGAATCGGCTTCCACCACACTTTCAGGCAATGCATTCCAGATCCGAACAACTCGCTGTGTGAAAAAACTTCTCCTCACCTCTCCTCTGTTTCTGTTAACAACTATTTTAAATTGGTGTCCTCGGCTTACTGATCCATCCGCCAGTGGAAATAGTTTTTCCTTGTTCACCCTATCGAATTCCTTCATAATTTTGTAAACTTCTATTTAAGTCTCCTCTTAACCTCTTCTGCTCCTTCCTAAGAAAATAATCCTAGCTTCTCTGACCTCTCCTGATACTGAAATCCCTCTTTCCTGGTACCATGCTGGTAAATCTCTTTTACACCCTCTCCAATGCCTTGACATCCTTCCTAAAGTGTGGTGCCCAGAACTAAACACAGTACTTAAGCTGAGGCCTAACCAGTGTTTTATAAAGGTTCATCATAACTTCCTGACTTTTGTATTCTATGTCCCTATTTATAAAGGCTAGTATCTCGTATGCTTCTTTAACAGCTTTATACTCCTCACTGTTTTCCTAGCTTAGCATCATCTGCAAACTTGGAAGTTGTACTCCCAATACCCAAGTCCAGGTCATTTATATCGATCAAAAACAGCAGTGGTCCCAATACCGACTCCTGGGGGACACTACTGCACACTTCCCTTCAGTCAAAAAAAACAACCGTTCACCACCACTCTCTGCTTTCTGTCTCCCAGTCAGTTCAGTATCTATGCTGTTGATGCTGAAGTAAATGAGTTCAGGAAAAAGAACAATTTAAACAAATACTGTATATACAAAGTAAATAAGAAGATCAAGAAACATATTTGCTATGATCAATATGCAAGCATTTGAGTTAGAGTATGCAATTGCCTCACAAATACAGTACTCCCCAAGAAGCACTGCCTTTAAACCATTGAAAGGAAACACATCCTGTTCTATTCTGGGTTTTTCCCAAATCACTGCAAGTCTCATCACCCAGTATTATGTTGCAAAGCTAGTCCATGCCATAGCTAGCGTTCAACACACTGTATTTTAAACAACAACAACATTTCATTTATAGAGCGCCTTTCACGTCGGGAGGACGTCCCAAGGCGCTGTACAGTTGGGTCAGGACCCGAGCAGGGGGGAAATGGTCAGGGGGAGGGAAGGGAGGGAGCAAGGAAGGGGGAAATGGTCAGGGTGAGGGGAGGGAAGGGAGGGAGCGAGGAGGGGGTAGAGAGTCGAGAGGAGAGCTGAAGGCACGGTCAAAGAGAAAGGTCTTGAGACCGGCCTTGAAGGAGGAAAGGGAGGAGGCGGCGAAGGCACTGGGGATAGAGTTCCAGAGCCTCGGGGCTGAGAGGCTGAAGGCCCGGCCACCGATGGTAGGGCGGTTGGGGCGGGGGACGTGGAGCAGACCGGAGCCAGAGGAACGGAGGGTACGGGCAGGTAGGTAGGGGGACAGTAGGTCGGAGAGGTAGGAGGGAGCAAGGCCGTGAATGGCCTTGTAGGTGAGGATCAGGATCTTGAATTCGATCCTCTGGGGGATGGGGAGCCAGTGGAGGCGAGCGAGGGTGGGTGTGATGTGGTCCCGAAGCCTAGTGCGGGACAGTACACGAGCTGCAGAGTTCTGAATGACCTTCAGCTTGTGGAGGGAGGTGCCGGGAAGGCCGACGAGGAGAGAGTTCCCATAGTCCAGCCTTGAGGTGATAAAGGCGTGGACCAAGTTTCAGCAGCGTGAGGGGTGTGGTAGTGCCGTAGCCTAACGACATTCCTGAGGTGATGGAAGGCGGTGCCAGTTGTGGAGTGGATATGAGGGGGAAAGGACAGCTCAGGGTCGAACAGAACACCGAGGTTCAGCGGCCCGCACCTGGCTCTTCAGTGAGCGGAGGAGCGAGAGTAGGAGACAGTACTGTAGGTGATGGGGGCAAGAATATCGAGTGTGGAGGAGAGTGTGTTGTGGAGGAGGGTGAGAGCAGAAGAGGGGTCGGTGAGGGTTGAAGGCCAGAGGGAGAGGAGTTCAGAGGACTCCAAGGCAGCGGTTAGGGATTGTGGGGATAACTTCTTCCAGGGGCGGTAGAAGATGTTGGTGGGTCTGGTGGATGTGGGGAGGGGGGCGGAGGTGGTGAAGAAGTGGTGGTCGGAGACGGCCTTGTCGGTGATAGTGACATCCGAGACACTGAGGCCCCGGGTGATCACCAAGTCGAGTGGGGGAGTTGATGTGGAGGGAGAGGTTGAGCGAGGAGAGCAGGGAAGAGAAATCTGAGGAGATGGAGCAGGAGGGGGTGAAGTGAGGTTGAAGTCGCCCAGGATGATGAGGCGATCAGAGCAGAGAGATGTAAGAACTGTCGAAATATCAGAGATGAAGGTGGAAGAGTTTTTAGGGGGCCGGTAGAGGAGGAGGATTTTGAGTAAGAGGAAGGAGGGGTGGGAGAGGATGAGGTGCTCGAAAGAGGGGAAAGAGCCAGGGGAGTAGGGGGTTAGGGCAAGTGGTGTCCTTGAGATAAGGGCTACACCACCGCCACGGCCGTTGGGGCGAGGGATGTGGTGGGTGGTGTGGCCTCCGTGAGGGGGAAGGTGTCGCTTGGGATGAGCCAGGTTTCCGTTAAGGCCATGATATCAACGCTCTCATCAAGGATGAGATCGTTGATGACCAGGGCCTTGTTACAGAGGGAGCGGACGTTTTGTAGTCCGATGTGGAGGGAGCGGTTGACAGAAGGGTGCGTGGGAGGGGAGGGGGTCCAGGTTGTGAAGCAGGGGTGGGGGAAATGGGGATAAGGGAGGAGAGGTTGGCTCCCCGGCTCTGTGTCCGGGGTGGCTGGCGAGTGTGGTGGGGAATGGGGCAGTCGGTGTGGCTGCTGCTGGACAGCCAACGTCGAGTGCCACGGTGAGCCCGGCAGAGGATTCCCAGGCTGGAACAGAGGGAGGTTGTGGGAGGGTCAAGTGGACCGCGGGGACCGGGAGCGAGCGGTCAGGTGGATGGCATTATCCCATAGGCTGGGGCTGGGGCAGCCAACCCAACAGGACCATGGTGGGCTCTGATGTGAACCCTGGGGAGGGGGCGCAGAGTTATTATTTGCGCGAGAACACTCCTGAAAACTAAACTATGATGTCAGTGGTTCCCCCGCTCCGCCCCCACCCGTTCCCTCCTCAGCCCCACAGCCCCAGAGCTGCACTCCCTGCCGCCGCTCCCCGTGCAACTGCATTCCCTGCCGCCGCTCCCCGTGCGGCTGCACTCCCTCCGCCACCCCCCGTGTGGCTGCACTCCCTGCCCCCGCGACCTTAAATACCTGTGTAGGTACCTACCCCCAGGCTCCTCCCCAAGCTGTCCTGCCGCCGCTCCCCGTGTGAAATAGCATCAACCATAAAGATTACCAACTGTGCCAAATTACCAAAGCTAAAATTGCTCAAAAATCACACTTTATTTTAAAACATTTATATTTTTTGAGAATCCTGTACATATTGGTCTGAACATAACATCAAAACCTATCTGTTTGAAATTCTTCTATGTTGATTGCAACAATTAAGAGTTTTGAACAATAATAATCATTGCATTTGATAACAGCGCAAAGAATGGTGAAATGTCTCAAAGCGCTGATTTGAGTATTTGATTTCAGATCATTTTTATTTAACAATCTTTGTGTCACAACTGACACTTGTTCAAAGAAGGGTCGGCAACATCACAATCCATCTGAAATTGTGATTTGAAGAGAAAAAATTACAACGGGTGCTATCTTGCCAGGCAGCATAGATTTCATCAACTCCTTGTCCTAAAACCGACTAGGAGAGTACAGCAGATAATTTGTTTATTACTGAATTAAGTAAACCACGACTGACACCCACAGTATATTTAAAACAAAGTTACCCCAAAACTATGGGGGGAAATTAGCCACGTCACCAGGCCATGGACCAGTAATTGGCTTACTTCAAACAATTTCTTACAAATATTCATAGAAATAAAAAGGACAGAAATCATGTCACGCCCAAACTGTAATTTAAAAGCGCCCCAATAAGCCGCCTAAAGTTAAACACACACACTTGCTTTACAGTGAATGTACGAGCCAAAATGGAGGGAACAGATTGTGAGGGTGAGTCTCTATCCCTCCACCTTCCATGTGCTGATGGAAAGTACCCTTAAAATTCATTTTGATTTTTTTCTTAAGTTCCACGCCTGCATAACCTCAATTAAAAGGAAATAAAACGCAATCCTGCCTCTTGCACAAACACACACGCCTAAGAATCAGAAGTTCATAGGAGTACCATATGCTTTTTCCTTTTTCAAATAAAAACACAAATAAACGGTTAGTCAAAGTGGGGGGGATAGGGCGAGGGAGAGAAATGGAGGGGGGGGGCAGGTCAGTTATTACATGAGGCAAGTTAATCAGAGATATTTTATTTTGTGGATTAACATCATAGCTATTTCCTCTGTACCCACCCACCCACCCTCCATGTTACAAGCCCAGAGGCCGAGGTCCACCCACGCATTCTAAAGGGGGTTCGAGTCGCCCTTTGCTCCNTTTTTTTTTGAACGTGGGTGGATTTTACTCTGTGGCGGTTTCAGTTCAATACAATACTCACCCACTGATCGGTATCCCAGTATCGCAACCTTGCGGGACTTCGGCTGCGGCATCGTTAAGCGATGGGGCTGTGTTTTTTGAGGAGGAGGCGGGGAAAGAAAAGAGACAGAAGAGAAAGACGAATAGGAGCAGAGAGGCGGGGGGGGGGGGGGGTCACTCTCACGCGCACTAAAAATTAAAATAATCTCTTCTCAAACGTCATATATATATATATATATTATGTACTATGTATATATATTTTAAAAAAAGTAAAAATAAAATCCGAACAAGAAAAATAGAGGATTAAAGAAAAAGAGGGAAGAAGGAAAGGCCTGGCCTTAATACCACCACAAAAAGCAAACTACATCGATGTGGAGATGATGATAATTATTATATATATATACAGTTTTACAGGGTTCAGGAACCCTTTTCTCTATGACTTTTCCCTCTAATTTGTGTTGTTATTGTTGTTTGTTGTTGTGTATTCGGCCTCTCTTCTCTACCAATCCTCCGGGAAGTGCGAGCGTGTGTGTCAGTGCGTCTCCTCCACCGGCCTCGTTTCTCTTCCTCCCAACCCAGAACCCGCCCTCCACCACAAACTCTGCGCCGCCCATACGACGGCTTAAATGTCGATCATCTCGCCGACCAATCGCAGCGATCGACGGAGATGATCAACGTAGAAACTATCATCAATCCACTTAACGTACGCGCGCCCCCCCCCCCTCTCTGCCCCCACATCCACATTGTCCATACGTTCAGCCGCCCGCCCAATCAAACCGGCTGTATCACAGCTGTCCCGCCCCTCCTCCCTCCCCGCCCCACGCTGCCGCCATCATGCCGTCCATCAGTCGCGGCCGTCCGCGATTGGAGTACACCAACGTTAATCACCTTCCCACGCCGGTCCCGCCTACCAACTGTCAAGCGAGCTCGCGCTGAGGCGTTCGGGAGATGTAGTCGCCGCCAAACCGCCGTCTTCTTCTTAAAAGTTTATATCGTTAAAAAAGGGAAGACGGTTGCGGCCCCGCGGGTAAAAGACGCGAACGCCATTCTACGGTCGATGGCTCGTTTATTGGAAAAGTAATAACAGCAGCGCCACGCACAGTGGAAAAATTATTTGAAAGGGACAACGCAGCCGCCATTTTGAGCAGCAGCCGGTGAGTCAGGGTCTGGCCAGAGAATAAAATACTGCTGGTTTGTAGCCCAAAGTCAAATGAAACACAAGCCCCAAAGTAACCCAAATATTCACATAGTATTCGTTGCCTCCTATATGGGTAGCGGAGAGGACATTTAGGTTAATGCTTTTTTGAAGCGGTGTAAGAAAAAGTCTTCGGGGTTGGGGGAGACGTTTTGCAGGTTTAAGTTTAAAATTGGACACCTTACAGTACAGTAAATCTCGAATAAGCCTGTATGTATGTATAAATCGTATAAGTCGCCTAAATCGTACATCTGCCCAAATCCTGTTGAATTATCTCGCACACAAAATATTGGGTCAATTCACTTTACAGTATATTTTGTGAAGCGTTTTGAGATATCTCAAAGATGTGATAAAGTGCTTTTTCAAATGCAGGGAATATTATTATTTATAAGTTTCCATAACTCATACTTCCCCTAAGTTGTATTAAATGTATGGTCCCAACTGATACAATTTATGTGAGGTTTACTTGTTCAACAAAATCGCACCCAAATTGGATGTGAAAATAGTTAGCAAACTGGCAAATGAGGAAGAGGTTAGAATTTTTTTTCACGCATGCACAGATTTTAGGATATGGAAGTGAGTTGTCTCAGAGGTGGTAGAGGCAGAATCCATAATAGCCTTCAAAAAGGAACGCTTATAACTCTTGTAGTATATTGGTTCCTCGCCTTTCAAGTGAGAGGACCTGGGTTTGATTCCCAGCAGGGAGAAATGTTGGGTAAGTTTCTCTGCTCCACCTGCCTTTGTTTACCTGGCAGTAAGTAGAAACTCCGTTGTTAGTTGGTTGGCAGATCGTTTTCCAGGGGTAATATTCCACCACCCCCCTGCAAAATGCAGACATGCAATCCACGACTTTCTGTGGGAAACTGCTATTGGCTGCCATATTTCGCCCACAAAATACACTTTACAATATATTCTCTGAAGCGCTTTTACGACATCGCAACAAAAAAAGTACATTGTAGAGTGCCTTTGATGTTGGGAGGACTTCCGAAGGTGCTGGACAATCAGTGTTTTGGACCCGAGCTGGGGGTCAGGATCGGGGTGGGTGGAGGGCAGGCGGTGGGGGAAGGAGGGTGATCCTTCACGGTCGAAGAGGAGGGTCTCGGGACGGGTCTTGAAGAAGGGAAGGGACGAGGCGGAGGAATGCGGGATAGAGTTCCAGAGGGTGGGGGCAGAGTAGCTGAAGTCCCGCCCACCAATGGTGGGGTGGGCGAGGCGGGGGACGTGAATCAGGCCGGAGCCCGCTGAGCGGAGGGAGCAGGCAGGTTGGTAGTGGGTTATGAGGTCACAGAGGCGGGGTGGGGGAAGCAAGGCCATGGAGGGCTTTGAAGGTGAGGCCCAGGATCTTGAACTGTATCCTATGTGATGGGCGAGGATGGGGGTGATACGGTCACTGAGCTTGGTGCAGGAGAGGACACGGCCTACAGAGTACTGGATGATCTGCAGCTTATGGAGGGAAGAGTTGGGATATAGCGCCTTATCAATGATCACTATATCAAGTGCAAGGATTATTGTTATTATTAAAAAGGAAGTAAATTTACGAGATATGGATGGGGGGGGGGGGGGGGGGGGGGAGAGAAAGGGCAGGTAAATGGGACTGAAAGAATCATTTTCAAAAGAGCCAACCTAGATTTGGTGGGCTGAATGGCCTTCTGTGCTGCAAATTTATGCTTCTGGTGGCCCTTTGTGGGGCATTGCTTTGTGGAAATGCAAATTGGTCCCATTTAGTGATCCCATTTAGCTGCACTTGTCAAACCTGATTTGTTTATTCAAAATTAATGATAAATATGTACCCTATACATATGATAATGTACTGAAGTAACCAAGGACAGCATTTAAAGGATACAATATGTGTTTTAATATGCTACATTTAGAATCCAGTTCACATCACTTTTAGATTAAAACAGTTTAATGGCACTTAAAATTGCAACACAGTGATGCAAACTTGATCAGCCCTGATAAAATGGGCTAGAGAAACTTCAATTAGTTCTGGGATGAGCAAACTTCCAGAGGGCCTTGCCAAACGTATGTAGATGAAAGTTGGTTATGTAGGACACATTTATGCACCTCAGGTTTCAAGGATTTAAATGATGCCCATTCTTGTCCTACACACTGCTATTTTATATTACACAATCCTTATGAGTATGGAAGTACAGAATTCATTGACATTACTGAATCATCACCAGTGATCTAAAAGTTATTTTTTTTTTACAAAATGTTTTGGGTGGGAGAGGAGAAGAAAGAAAATACAAGATTCAAATCTTCAAATATTACTTTCAACAGCTATGGAATCTAATTGATTAAAAAGTTCTCAGGAAGTTTGTCTCACTGAAACGTTAATTATTGTTTTGTTTGCTTAACTCAATTGCACACCAAAACTCCAATCTGTGTATAGTTTACTTACGAGATACTTAAATGTGCTACCAAGCAAGTTTCATTTTCAGTTCCTGTCAATTCACTACACCATCAATGAGCCTCTGTTTAAAGTGCATTATTACTTTGACAAGGTTTTGCTCCAAGTATTTCTTTTCGTTCCCAACAAATTTGCACAATGGCAACAAATATCATTTCTTTATCGATTTCCCCCCCCGCCACACCCACACAAAAATCTCTATTATAGTGTCATTTCATGCCTTTGTGCATCTATAGACAAAACATCCCCACCCATCTTTCCAACCATATGAAAACAATATATGCCACAATATAATTTACAAAAATTAAATCTGCAATCGTACAAACATAATTTTACATTTTCATACACAGAAAAATATACCTTTCTCTGGCACTTTTTCTCGCAATAACTTCCTATTTACACTACATACAGCAACAGTATTCTCATTGCATGCTCCTGTTAAACTGGAGGTTTATGATGTATATATGGACATGTAACTGTCAATAGCAGGTCCAAACTCAATTTGCAGTTTGATTTTTCATGACTATGTCCCAAATATTCATAAAGTGGGGCTAGCTGGTAGGTACCCACCCGAGTCATGACATTTTCTTACAAACTGTCCAAATAAACAGCCATTTCAATCAATTCTGGCTTTAAAGCATAGTTAAAATATCTTTACTTCTTGTTACTAATCATTTTTGCAAAATAAAGTCTTGCAAAATCTCTTACAATTGTATCATTACAATCGTTTCCAATGCAGGTGTTTAGTGAATATGAACACACCACAACGATTTGAATTCAGATGTTGTCACTTAAATACATTCTAGATCCAGCTACAGTGTTTGGTTACAACTTTTTCTCTTTCTCGGCAGCATGATCTTGTGCCTTCTCTGTTGTCGTCAGCACTCATCTGGCCCCAAATAGAAAAGAAACTTGAAGCAGTTCTTTTCAGGCACCTTCAATGGCCATTGTAGTCTGTCATTCTGCAATGCTGTCCTTTCTTATAGAACCTGTAAATTATAACATATAACTTATTCAAATTGTTTCTGAAAAAAATTGTTAAATTAGAATACTTATGTGCAATATGTATTCCCTCGTCCATGGCTTCGTCATTTCCCGTCTGGACTATTCCAATGCCCTCCTTGCTGGACTTCCCCAGATCCACCATAAGCAAAATACAATCCAGAACCCCACCGCCCGGATTCTCACCTGCACAAAACTCCATCCCCCCATCACACCAGTCCTTGCCAGGCTGCACTGGTTCCCAATTACTGAACGGATCGATTTCAAGATCCTCTCACTCGTTTTGAAATCTCCTCATATACAACAACAACAACAAGATTCCATTTATAAAGCGCCTTTCACGTCAGGAGGACGTCCCAAGGCGCTGCACAGTTGGGTCATGACCCGAGCAGGGGGGAAATGGTCAGGGTGAGGGGAGGGAGCGAGGAGGGGGGAAATGGTCAGGGTGAGGGGAGGGATGGGAGGGAGCGAGAAGGGGGAAGAGAGTCGAGAGGGGAGCTGAAGGCTCGGTCAAAGAGAAAGGTTTTGAGACCGGCCTTGAAGGAGGAAAGGGAGGAGGCGGCGAAGGCACTGGGGAATGGAGTTCCAGAGCCTCGGGGCTGAAGGCCCGGCCACCGATGGTAGGGCGGTTGGGGCGGGGGACGTGGAGCAGACCGGAGCCGGAGGAACGGAGGGTACGGGCAGGTAGGTAGGGGGATAGTAGGTTGGAGAGGTAGGAGGGAGCAAGGCCGTGAATGGCCTTGTAGGTGAGGATGAGGATCTTGAAATCAATCCTCTGGGGGATGGGGAGCCAGTGGAGGCGAGCGAGGGTGGGAGTGATGTGGTCCCGAAGCCTGGTGCGGGACAGTACACGAGCTGCAGAGTTCTGAATGACCTGCAGCTTGTGGAGGGAGGTGGCGGGAAGGCCGGCGAGGAGAGAGTTCCCATAGTCCAGCCTTGAGGTGACAAAGGCGTGAACCAGGGTTTCAGCAGCGTGAGGGGTGAGGTAATGCCGTAGTCTGGCGATGTTCCGGAGGTGATGGAAGGCGGTGCCAGTTGTGGTGCGGATGTGAGGGAGAAAGGACAGCTCAGGGTCGAACAAAACGCCGAGGTTCCTGACTGGCTTTGAGAGGTGGAGAGTGCAGCCTTGGATGCTGATGGTGTCAGCGCCTGAGGTGCGGAGGCGCTGACGTGAGCCAATCAGGAGGGCCTCGGTTTTTCGCACGTTGAGCTGAAGAAAGTTGTCTCTCGTCCAGGACTCGATGTCGGACAGGCAGGCTGTCAGGACATCGGTGGTCGTGGAGTTGAGAGTAGAGGAGGAAAGGTAGAGTTGGGTGTCATCCGCATACATGTGGAAGTTAACCCATGTCTGCGGATGATGTCACCAAGGGGGAGCATATAGAGGGTGAAGAGGAGGGGACCGAGGACAGAGCCCTGAGGGACACCACATGAGACAGTACGGGGGGTGGAGGAGAAGCCATTCGTTGAGACAAAGTGAAGACGGTGAGAAAGGTACGACCTAAACCATTCAAGGACAGTGCCTTGAAGGTTGAGGTGGGAGGACAAGCGGTGGAGTAGGATAGCGTGGTCGACCGTATCGAATGCTGCCGATAGGTCGAGGAGGACGAGGAGACAGAGGGAGCCCTGGTCACAGATGGTCAGGATATCATTGGTGACCTTGACCAGGGCAGTTTCTGTGCTATGGGCAGCACGGAAACCTGACTGAAGGGGTTCGAAAAGAGAATGGGTGGAAAGGAAAGAGCGCAGTTGGGAGGCGACAACTCTTTCCAAGACCTTGGAGAGAAAGGGGAGGTTGGAGATGGGCCGGTAGCTTGATAGCTGCGACGCATCAAGGGAGGGTTTTTTCAGGGTGGGCGTGATGATGGCAGTTTTTAATGGAATGGGGACAGAGCCAGAGGAGAGGGACAGGTTGATGATGTCAGTGATATGTGGGGCAAGAAAGTGGAGCTGGGAGATAAGGAGTGGAGTGGGGATGGGGTCAAGGGAGCAGGTGGTTGGTTTTAGGGATAGGATGAGTTCAGTGACAGAGGGTGGGGAAACGGGTACGAAGGTGTGTAGGGGAGGATGGGTAGGAGTCGGAGTGTGGGAGGGAGGGGGTGGGGGGTTGGTGGAAGTTGGAGGGGAAGTGACCGCGGAGCGGATTCCCTTGATCTTGGATTCAAGGAAATCCAGCATCTCCTCGCAGTGAAGGTTGGAGGAGATGACCTGCGCGGGGTGGCGGGGGGGACGGAGGAGTCGGGTTGTGGTGGAAAACAGTAGCCTGGGGTTGTTCTTCGCCTCCAGGATTATCCTGGAGTAGAAGGACGACTTGGCCGAGGCTAGAGTGGAGCGGTAAATTTTGAGGAGGTCCAGCCAGATTTGTCGGTGGACCGTTAGGCCAGATTTGACACAGGTGCGTTCAGCAGCCCGCACCTGGCTTTTCAGTGAGCGGAGGTGGGTGGTGTACCAGGGGGAGGAGCGGGAGTAGGAGACAGTGCGGGAAGTGATGGGGGCAAGAGTATCGAGTGTGGAGGAGAGGGTATTGTGGAGGAGGGAGAGAGGAGAAGAGGGGTCGGTGAGGGTTGAAGGCCAGAGGGAGAGGAGTTCAGAGGACTCCAAGGCATCGGTTAGGGATTGTGGGGGTAACTTCTTCCAAGGGCGGTAGAAGATGGTGGTGGGTCTGGTGGAGGTGGGGAGGGGGGTGGAGGTGGTGAAGGAGATGAAGTAGTGGTCAGAGATGGCCTTGTCGGTAATAGTGACATCCGAGACACTGAGGCCCCGGGTGATCACCAAATCGAGTGGGTGGCCGTGACTGTGAGTGGGGGAGTTTATGTGTAAGGAGAGGTTGAGTGAGGAGAGCAGGGAAGAGAAGTCTGTGGAGATGGAGCAGGAGGGGGTGAAGTGTAGGTTAAAGTCGCCCAGGATGATGAGGCGATCAGAGCAGAGGCAAAGAGATGTGAGGAGTGTTGAAATGTCAGAGATGAAGGTGGGAGAGGTTTTAGGGGGCCGGTAGAGGAGGAGGATTTTAAGGGAGAGGAATGAGGGGTGGGAGAGGGTGAGGTGCTCAAAGGAGGGGAAAGAGCCAGAGGAGTAGGGGGATAGGGCAAGTGGTGTCCTTGAGATAAGGGCAACACCACCGCCACGGCGGTTGGGGCGGGGGATGTGGTGGGAGGTGTAGCCGGGTGGCGTGGCCTCCGTGAGGGGGAAGGTGTCGCCTGGGGTGAGCCAGGTTTCTGTTAAGGCCATGATATCAACGTTCTCATCAAGGATGAGATCGTTGATGACCAGGGCCTTGTTGCAGAGGGAGCGGACATTTTGCAGTCCGATGTGGAGGGAGCGGTTGACAGAAGGGTGTGTGGGAGGGGAGGGGGTCCAGGTTGTGAGGCAGGGGTGGGGGGAATGGGGATGAGGGAGGAGAGGTTGACTCCCCGGGTCTGTGTCCGGGGTGGGTGGCGAGTGTGGTGGGGAATGGGGCAGTCGGTGTGGCTGCTGCTGGACAGCCAACGCCGAGTGCCACGGTGAGCCCGGCGGAGGATTCCCAGGCTGGAGCAGAGGGAGGTTGTGGGAGGGTCAAGTGGGGATAGAAGACGAGAGGGACGGAGAGAGAGGAGGAGAGAGCGGGAGAGATGCAGAGGGGGGAGGGTTTGGGGGGAGAGAGGAGGGGGGCAGGAGGGAGGGTCTCGGGTCAAAGCGGCAGCCATAGTGCGCACGCGCTATGGTATGCTATGGTATACTCGCACCTCCCTACCTATCCGGTTTGCTTACCGCCCATTCCACCACGCGCTCCCGCCGATCGGCTGGCTCCGGCCTCCTGTTATCGCTCCACTATCAGTGGCTGTGCCTTCAGCCACTACACCCTGAAACTCTGTCCTTTAATCCCTCCGTTTTGCCCCCTCCCTCCCCACTTTCAAATCCTGCCTAAAGACCTTCCTTTTTGATCCCAGACTCCGCCATTGTCAAGCACTCCGGGAGGCTACCTCGCAGGTGCCAAATAAATGCAAGTCGTTGTTGTATATGAAATATAGCATCACTTCGCACCATTGAAACACAGTCCTAAGAGCTCGGACAGGAAACAAAGATCACTGATTGGATAGTGGCAATAAAAAAATAATAATAATTTGGTCATTCAATCCATGACTGTTTGTGGGACACTGCTATGCCCAATTGGCTGCCGAATTTCACCCACAAAATATACAGTCAATTCACTTTACAGTATATTCTGTGAAACATTTTGAGACGTCTCGAAGATGTGATAAGGCACTATATCAAATGTAAGGACTATATTATATTATTATTGTTTTTCCACTATATTTATTCATGTCCCTCCCCACCCTACCCATCCCACCATCGATGATCAGCCTTTCTGCCCCCAGTCTCTGGAACTCCATCCCAGAATCCCCTGTGTCTCCCCCCTCCCTTGACAACTTCAAGATCTGTCTCAATAATTTCCTCTTTGACTGTGCCTTTGGTAATTCTCCCACCTCATCTCCCTTGCCCTCCACCCATCTTGATTCCAACCCACAACTCGGGTGCAATCCCTTGATTATCCAGTGCCTTGGGTGTCTCCTGACTTGAAAGGCGCTATATAAATGCAATTTGTTTTTGTTGTTGTTAAACAAACGGGAATCAATCTGAATCCATTCATTATGGATCAAGTTGTAACTGTAGATAACTCAAGTTCACATTTGCTGAACATATATTCTAAGAAGGAGTAGATTCGTTGGGCTGCATTTTCTTTGAAAGATTGTATCATATTTATTCAAAAATAAAAATACTTTATGCTATGGCCAATATTGCTTTCTTTGTACAGATACATATACAATAAATGAACATGTGTTCAAAGCTAAAGCTTAATTTTAATTGAAAAAGAAATGTGTCTTCACTGGTTTGAAAGCTTTACACTTAAGTCCTGCAAAAAGTCAGTTTTAGTCTCATCTTTCATATAACCTGAAGGTGCTTTAATTGCTAATGATCTCTTGAATACTAAAACTGTTCAACCTCAGCCCCAACCTCAACTCAGGTGCAAACCTTGGACTGTTCACCACCTTGGGATGTCCTCCCGACATGAAAGGCACTATATAAATGTAAAGATATATTGTCTGCGTGTGTATCTGTGTCTCTGCCAGTAACGCCATAACCGATCGACATAGAGACATGATTTATACCTAATCGGAAAGGTCTTGCATGCGGCAGTGTCATGGGCATTTTTTGTTCGGATATTGTTGATGAGCTATATTTAAAAAATGCTTTAATTAAGCCCCAAAATATGAGGTAGGCATGATATTCTGCAACAAAGTAGCACACACCCTTCTACAAAAATACATCTACAAAAATTCTGCAACAAATGTATGTCAGTTTTTTCGGGCTGTCATGGGAGCTACAGTCCTCCCAAAAGGAGTCCTCCCAACCAGGAGTCCTACGAACAGGAGTGCTCCCACTTAATCTTAAGGGAAGATGCTTAAAAAGGGAAGATCAAGCTTTTCAAGGACAAATAAAAATGCAAGACAGAAGAGAGAAGGCCGATTGAATGAAACTGAAGAACAAAGAACAGCATGGCTAGACTTTAATACTGAAAAGACTGCAAGAGCAAGGCAAAGTGAGTTGCCCACTCAAAGAACAGCACGGCTGGACCTCGACGCAGAAAGGCATGCAAGAACACGGCAAAATGAATTGCCCGCTCAAAGAACAGCATTGCCTGACTTCAACGCAGAAAGGCATGCAAGGTGTACACACAGTATTTATGGCATGTATGTGGTTTGTAAGTGGTATCACATAAAATCTACATTCTGTATTTGATTCTTTAGTTACAAGTGTAGGTAGCTGCAACGGGTACAGCTAGTACCTAGTAATAATAATCTTTGCATTTAATATAGTTCTTTATCGCATTATCCAAACAACAACAAATTACATTTGTATAGCGCCTTTCACGTCAGGAGCTGGACAGTCAGGGATTTGGACCCTAGCAGGGGGTTGGAATCAGGCGGTTGGAATCAGGTGGGGTGGAGGGCAGGAAGGGTAGGGGTAGAAGGGTGACCGAAGGCCCGGTCAAAGACGAGGGTCTTGAGACAGACCTTGAACAACAACAACAAGATTACATTTGTAGAGCACCTCTCATGTCGGGAGGACGTCCCAAGGACAGAGTACAGCATTTCAGACCCGAGCTGGGGTCGGGGTGGGGAGGGGAGGTGGTCGAAGAGGAGAGGGTCTTGAGGCGGGACTTGAAGGGGACAAGGAAGGGAGCAAGGCAAAGGGAATGTGAGATAGAGTTCCAAAGGGTTGGGGCAGAGAAGCTGAAGTTCCGACCGCTGACGGTGGTATGCGCCAGACAGGGGACATGGAGCAGGCTGCTGAGCGGACAGGTCGATATGGAGTTAGCATGTCACAGAAGTAGGAAGGAGCAAGGCCATGGAGGGATTTAAAGGTGAGGAACTGTATCTGAGGGATGGGCCCCGTGATGGGGTCACGGAGCCTGGTGTGGGAGAGGAAACAAGCTGCAGAGTTCTGAAATATCTGCAGCTCGTGGAGGGAAGAGATGGGAAGGCCAACAAGCTGGCTTAGTCGAGCATAGGTTTAATGAATGATGAGGGTCTCGGCGGCATGAGGGGATAGGCTGTGGCGTAGCTGGGTGATGTTTTGGAGGTGGGGTTAAGCAGAACGGGTTATGGCATGAACCTCTCAAAGAAAAGATTTACTGCAAAGTGTAGTGATTATTTTTAGCCAAAGAAACGTATTCATTTCTGCTGGGGGGGTGGGGAGAAGAGAAAGAAAAGATACTATAGAGTTAATGGTCACTTCATGTGATGTGATCCAGATCACTGCAAATTCTCCAATTATGCTGTTTCTGGTTTGAAGATTGCAAGGAGGAAGCTCAAAAACAATTATACACTGAAGGGCAGGACCATTGGTTTAATGTAAAATTTAAATGCATATAGGCTCAATGGAGTCAGTGCGGAAGCTCTGTGGTTTATTCGACTCCCAACTGTCAAACTCCAAATCTGTGCCTTGACCTGTTCAGCTTTCCCCCACCTCTTCAATATCTTCCGCCTCCTCTACTACTTCTCCCCTCAGGCTGCCGCTCTCCGTATCACGTACAGGCTAGACTACGCCAACTCTGCTCGCCAGACTTCCCAACTCTTCCCTCCACACACCATTCAGAACTCTGCAGTTCATGTCCTCTCCCACACTTGCTCCACAAGCCTATCACCCCCATCCTTTCCCGGCTCCACTAGCTTCCTATTCCCAGAGAATCGAGTTCAAGACCCTCGTCCTACTTCATGTCCCCCACCCTGCCCACCCCACCATCATTGATTGGCATTCAGGCTTTCATATAGAATCTATAATCTGGTTTCAGACATTCTCTGTACCTCCATCCTGGAGTCCCTTCACCTTGCTCTTTCCCTCAACTTCTTCAAGGTCTGTCTCAAGATTTTCCTCTGACCACAGTCATTTTCTCAACTCCCTTGGCCCCCATACTTCCCAAATCCAACCCCCATCTTGGGTACAAATTATCAACTATCCAGCACCTTGGGACAGTCTCCCGATGTGAAAGGTGTTATCTATATAATAATTATATAATATATAAATGCAATTTGTTGCACTACTACCTAACTTTGTCTTATAGCAGATTGTGTGCTGACTGAACATGGCTCCTCCACAGACAGTTTTTCTGTGCTTAAGAAATATTGAAAACTGTATCACTCTCTGTGAGAATGATACAACTGAAAATGGAAACTCAATTAAAATTATTCTCAGTTGAGAGATATATAGGGTTCTCTTGTACAGGACAGAAATGCATCGATTATAGTGACTTACTAGTGACATAGACGTAAGCAAATTGCATATATCATGCAAGTGTCTTTTTTGTTGGTCAGTCGGTTGTCAGGCACATGCAGAAACCCATCACCATGCTTAAGAGTATCCAAACCAAACTGAGAATTCCATGGATCCCAACTACACATGGAGATTCCAGGTTTTAATGATCAATTTTGCATCAATCTGATGAAGCACAGATTGGATTGTGGTGGTCAACTTGTACCATCATAAAGCAGGATTTTAAGAATGTTCAACTCACTTGCAAAATAAGTAGAATGTACAGCAGCACAAGCCACTTTGTCCAGCTTTGCATCTATCCTGGTCTTGAGAAACTGTTGCAGAACAATACGTCAAAGCAGTTTCACCTTTTTGACCGTGCAAAACGCTGTTTATCACTCAGCAGATAGCATAGGGGTTTCTGGCAGCCAATGCTGATTCAGCAAGCTGAATGGGTACAACATGCCATGCTGTACCCTACCTGAGTGCTCTGAGGAAGGGATCAGTGGTCAGACTTCAGGTGCTTAGGAATAAAGTGCATCTATACCTGCTGGTGTGAGAACAAGAGCCTGAAGAATGTCAGACAATGAGACGATGCCCACAATGCTTTCTTTCTCATCAACCACTACGAGTCGATGGACCTGAAAGGCAAAAATTTAAAGTAAACCATTATTATTATTAAGTGTATCAAAGGTCAGTGCATGAACCACACAAGAAAACAAGATAAAAGAAAGCTAATGTTAATTCTTGTATTTGAAAATATGCTTTGAAACATCCTCCTGACATGAAAGCGCTAAATCAAATGTAGGGATTATTATACGGCATCTTTCTCATTGGGTGGACATCTCAAAGCCCTTCACAAGATTTGCTATGAACTGTACTGTGTACTTTATAGGCGAACACAAGATTTGAGCACAGCAAATGTCCCATTACCCATGAGGTAAGTGAGTGACCAATTTTATTTGGGGGAATTGTTAGCCAGGATACCAGGAAAAAATCCTTTCTCTTTTTGATTAGTGTCATGGGATCTTAATGTCCACCGGAACAGGCAGAAGTTTAACATGTAACGATCTGAGGGATTGTACATCCAGTAATGCAGCACATTCCCAGCCCAGCACTGCACTGGATTCATTATCAGCCTAGATTGTGCGCTCTAGTGAACATTACACAGCTCTGAGTTACAGTACCATGAATACTGGAACCCCAAACTCCTTCAGCTAGGATTAAGATAATTTTAGTTAGTTCATGTGACAAGAACAATGAACTAAAATTTTGGAAATTAAAATTTCTATTAAAACAAATCACATATGTATAATCCTTACATTTAATATAGCACCTTTCATACCGAGTAGATGTCTCAAAGTGTTTTACAGCAAAATATGCAGTATAGTGGAGTATCATGTATTTTGTAGGCAAACACAGCAGACAATTTGCACACAACCATGAATCAAATGACCACTTTATTTGGTGGGGGATTCCTGGCTAGGACACCGGGAGAAATTCCTTTCTCTTTTTGAGTACTGTCATAGTAATCTTTAAAATCCGCCTGAATAGGCAGACAAGACCTCAGTTTATGATATCATCTGAAGCTGGCAATGTAGCGCTCACCCAGCATTGCACTGGGGTGTACGTAAACCCACATACATCAATGTCCAATACACCATGAGATTCAAGCAGGCCATCACAACAGACATAAGTGTGCTTATGTCTTATGATAACATTTTGAAGTGAAACTGCATACCTAAGAAGTGCATTAGCATTAAAATATAAAGAAGGAATGAAAAGTTGCCTGTAGCAGAAAAAAATGAAGGTGTTACAGAAAAATTTACAATTCTGCAGATAAAGAAAATTATGCACCTAGCCATTGTTGATGTGCTAACATTTTTCAATATGTTCTGTACACATGTTAATACGCTAACATTCTCATTAGAAACAATCAAATATTAGCTCATGAAGTCCCTTACCTCAGCTTTGACTATCCTGTCCACTGTCGTTTCCAGTGATTCCAGCCTGTGACACTGCACAACCCCTTCAAAATACTGAGAGCGGTGCCGCAGTGCTTGCGTTACAGTGATATCCAGATTATTGTACGTCTTCTCAGCAGCAAGATTCTGAGATAGAAATAAAACCTCCATTTTAACGCTTGTGCTTTCAAGACTTATTTTGTTTGAATATTAAACCCTGAGAAGGACAGCAACTCAATTTCGACACTGACCTATTTTCACCATGCTGCCATTGAGGAGCTGTGGCCTCCCACAACAGCCCCATGCTTCTTCCATGATCTGATGTGGTAGAAGTGGATTCGAGATGCAAACCCTCAACTGTTGTGAAATATTCCTTCCACCTTCTCACCCACAGAGAGATTACGCTAACATTCCCATTGGAAGCATTTAAATATTACTTAGCCAATACTGAGATTCTGGATGGTCAACATTTGCAAAATCACTTTTAAAATGTAGAATAAATGTAAAATTCATGAGATAATAGGGGGATTGACTTGCCTCCAGTAGAACAATCCAGGGATTTTAAAATTACAGGGATTGATTTTAAAATTACAGAGATTGATCTTAAAATTACAGCTAAAGCAGTTAAAAATGAATCCACAAATGCATGAGAGAATATGGACAATGCAATGCCTCAAAAGGCTATGAATATACAATCAACTGAATGGTTTAGAGGGAAATGGGAATGAAGTAAAAATAATCGTTGCATCTGACACGGTGCTTTTCACGTCGGCAAGACGTTTCAAAGTACTTCACAGGATACACTGCAAAGTGGAGCATCTATTTTGTAGACAAATGCGGCAGCAATGTGCACAGCAATAATCTCCAAACAGCCATGAAGTGAATAACCCATGTTATCCGGGGGGTTGTTGGCCAGGACTACAGGAGAAACTCCCCTTTTCGAGTATGAAATTGGCAGAGGTATTAGGTGAAAAGGAATTCTCCTTTAAAACTTTTTTTAAGCTGTTTTCTCACCCAACACTGGTAACTTTTAAGACGTACTTCGGAATGGGGTTATTACTACTCATGCACTAGCTAATGGAATAATAAAGTGAAACTGCTTTGTTTCTGAGAATCAAAATATTCTGTTACCAAATTGCATTACCACAACAATGTTGTTCAGATACTTGAAGGTCCATTGTTTGAAAGCTGCAAAGCATGCTCAGCACTCCAAAGATTTTTTTAAAAATTGTGTACATAAGAAATATTGAATGAAACTTGAGGAGTTATACTTACTATAACATCAAATTTCGAATAAATATCTACAACTTTCCCTGCAAAAGAAAAAAAATGTTATGTGAAGGATGTTCTAGAGTTCCCAATTCCTATAGAAAAAAAAATATCCTCAATTCTACACCAAGTCAAATACTCTAAGATGCTTCCTGTTATATGCAGAGGACCAAAATTATGTTCTGAGCCAATTCTTTCCTCAATAATATGAAACTGACAAACAGGAAGTGCAGATAGCTATTAACTACAAAATGCCAAGTATAGATATTTCCTGAAACTCGTAAGATATAAAAGTAACATGCAACAAAATAATGCTTCATTAAGTTACTATTATGATTTCTTCCAAGTAAAGGTAATATTGTGCAGATCTCAGATGGAGATATCCTTAATTGCGATTTTTTTAAAAAAGTGTTCCTTTGAAGCTCTCCAAACTAGATCATAAGGAAATTCAACATGTGGTGAGGTGCTCAGGCATACAGCCAAGGAAATGCCTGTTTTTATCTGCGCTTAGCTAGCTGATCTCAACCACGGCAGTGAACAGAGCGCTTCACTCTACTGAGGTTGCGGCTGAGAAAAGTCAGCCAAGGTTTCTGCACCTGATCACTAATGGAAGCACACGCAATGGATGCTGAGCAAGGACACAACTTTAACTGGCTGTGTTGTTCCCTCAGCACTTTTTCAGCTACTGGAAAATGGCCGATTGGCTGTGGTAGCTGGGGACTGCCGGCATTCAGTGGAACCATAGTCTAACATGAGTACTCACATTGATGAGACACATGAAGAAAATGAGAAGAAAAGTTTTAAACTGTAATTACTGTAATCTCATAACGTAGTGCAGTTCTTATAATGGGCTTCCTTATAGTAGTTTTGGTTAAGTGGTTGCACTGTGGACCTCATTCACTACACATGCTGCATCTAACCCGCTCTCGTTTGCCTGCTAGTTTTCGCTCTATAATCATCAGGTCGTCACCGCATCACTTCCTGCTTTGCACACAGGAAGTAACGATGGCTGTGACCTGATGCCCTGGAAGTCAGAGTTTTTTTAGCGCAGGAACTTGCTGGCAGGAGTGAAACCAGCTATTGTGTTTCATTGGGATTTTATGGATATCGACCACATTATATCAGAGATACAATGTATAAGACAGTTGAGAACATCAAGTTTGCTTGTTAATAAATAATAATACTCAAAAGGATTTTACTGTACAGAGACTGTACTGTATAGGCAAAAGCGACAGCCAATTTGTGCACAACAATGTTCCACAAACAGCCATGAAGTGAATGACTAATTTTATCTGGGAGATTATTGTCCAGGACAGTCCTCTTTTCAAGTAGTGCACTGGATCTTTAATGTAAACCTGAACACACAGACGGCACCTCAGTTTAACGTCTTATTCGTAGGACGGTACCTCTGATAATGCAGCATACCCTTAATACTGCATTGAGTGAATGAAATGATTTAAAGAAATGACAAGGCCTATCCCTGGGTAGTCCAACCTTTTGGGTGCTGAGGGCCAGATGCTCTATTTGAGAAACATCTTTACACCACTTAAAAGCAATATTTTTGTGTTTCCGTACCAGAAACATAACGTAAACGGGTTATGAAATCGGATGCGGCCCGCCAGATAGACCAGTTATTTGTGGGATGATTATGAAGAAGTTATGTTTGGCACTCTCTGCTGGTAAGAAATTTTCCCCATATGCACAAAAAGCTGCTTCGCTTGACTAGGATTGATACTGGGTGATAGGTACACAGATACTTGGCATGCTTCCTGGAAAAAGATGATCAAATAATAGTATAAAATAATGTAAAATAATCCTGGATATTGATGCATAATTATTTTGTTCAGAATATCATTTATAGCACTGCATGTCTACATCACGCACAACATTAAGATTCACCAACCTGATACATCCACAACGGGCAAGGCAGAAACCCTCCTTTCCACAAATATACTCAGGGCTTTTATAATAGGAGTGTTTGGATGGATAAAGGCAATATTAAGGTACGTTCCTATCCCCAGTTCCTCCAGTGTTTTCTTCATAAAGGCAGGCTTTGGCATCTCAGAGATCTAGAATGAATGACAATAATAAATGGACTTCTCGCCTTCTCATTCTGATTGTTTCAAAGTTTTTCATGCAGCGAGCGAGTTATGTTGAAGTATAATTATGGTGATATAAGCAAACATAGCATCTTTTGTACAACAGTAACATCCCACAAACAGCAATGAGTTAAATGGCAACAACAAGAACATATATTATCTAGCGTCTTTCATGTAGAATAATGTCTTGGAGCTCTTTGCATTGGCGGTGTGCCATCCGGTGATCAATCCTTCAGATGAAATTGGTTATTCACTGAGCTGTTATGTGGGACATTGCTGTGCACAAATTGCTTACTTATAAAATACACAGTAACTATACTGTAAATCATATGAAGCATTTTAAGACATCCCCCCGAAAGACACTATATCAAATGCAAGGATTATTGTTATTATAACTATACTAACATTTTCTGCTGATATACATTGCACAATTGAAATAAAATTACATGAATAGTAGCTTCCAATATAAAGCGAGACACATACCAGTCTCTGTTCATCTAACATTTGGATGGAGGCTAATTTTAAAGTGACATTCCTTACTTATAAGAATCACATTTTTGTTATCATTCTAAATCTATTAATTGTTGAACCATACTGTTGGTTGAGTTTTGAAATCTACTGCTAAATACATCAGCAAAAACAAAAATCCCAGCAATTTTTTGACGTGATTTTTGATGGTAAAATAAAGAACTCTGAACTCAGAACGGATTAGTTCTTCCACGGTCTCTTGATTTGTGTTACAGTGGTCAGCCAGGTGTTTCTGAGACTTGTGGACGACCATCACCTGCTTAGCAGTCTCTAAACCAGTCAGAGCTCCACATATGCATGCCATCTACACAACATAGACATTTCTGTGTCCGGAAATGGAAGGCGCAATCTCTCCTTGGAGGGACGCACCCTGCTTATCTAATTCCGAAAGAGTATTAGATGCAGGTTGGCCAGAGCCAAAGAATGGAGACCCTAGAGTGTGTATTAGGGGATACTGCTAGAATTAACAAGCTTCCCACTGCCTCACAGGAAATCATCTAATAAGTGGATTTTTACAAGCAGTTGGCCCAGAGATCAGAAGATTAGTTTGGATTGAAAAGGCCCTTTAATCTATTTAATTGCATTCTGGAAGAATTGCTTGTAAACATCCACTTATTAGATGATTTCTGGTGAGGCAGTGGGAAGCTTGTTAATTCCAGCAGTATCCCCTGGAAGAACAGCCACTCTACAGTTGTCTTAGCACAGTATCATCTTTAAATGAGTCCAGTGTCCTGGCCTCAACCTCTCTTCCAGGCAATCTGTTCCAGGCATTAACTACCCTGAGGAAAGAAACACTTCCTGATGTCTGTCCTGTGATTGCCCTTTATAACTCTAAAGTCTTGGTGCATCATCAAGTGATGTCTGGGCCTATATTTTGAATCCCATTTTAACTTTTTTACACCTCTATAAGGTCCCTTTGAGACATCACCTTTCGAGACTGAAGAAAGGCTGTCTAATTATTGCTTATAGTCTGTGCCGATAGAAAAGTGCAGCTACACTTTTTCCATGGAAGCCACTGCAAGCTCCCTCCTCTGCCATAAATGCACTGCAAACACTCCCCTCCCACTACAAACCTGTACACACGTGTGATGGGCCCCACTCACACCTGTACACACAGTGTGCTAGGTCCTGTTAGAAACCTGTACACAGTGTGCTAGGCCCCGCTACACACTTGTACACACAGTGTGCTAGGTCCCGCTACACACCTCTTCACACAGTGTGCTAGGCCCTGCTACACACCTGTACACAGTGTGTTAGGTCCTGCTACACACCTGTACAGTGTGCTAGGCCCCACTACACACCTGTACACATGGTGTGGTAGACCCAGCTACACACCTGTACGCACAGTGTGCTAGACCCCGATCCTCTCGTGCTGTTTGCTCGACGCTGCTACTGAGGGTAAAGCGGCTCCAGTCACATGTGCGTAACGCAGGGAGTGTTGTGATTGCAGAAGCGGCGCGAGCAGGAAATTGGCTTTGCCCGGCACCTGTGGCCTAAACTGAGCTCCTGCGACAAATTCTTGCTAAGTGCTGTACTATTCAAATTAACATTTTAGTATTTTAAACATAACTACATGTTCAGGAAATATATGCCTATAGTTTTAATCCGGGTTGTTTCACAAAATGGAGTCACCTCATGTGGAGTCCTGCAGCTCAATGGTTAGAGCACTCGCCTCACAAGTGAGAGACTTTAGTTCGATTCCAGGCAGGGTGAAAAGGTTGGGCAAGTTTCCTTACTCCACGTACCTGTTTACCTAGCAGTAAGTAGGAACCTGGTTGTTAGTCGATTGGCAGATTGCTTTTCTGGGGTAATAATTCCTTCAAAAAAGTAATAATAATAAATTGGTCACTCAATCTACAACTGTTTGTGGGACACTGCTGTGTGGAATTGGCTGTCGCATTTCGCCACAAAATATACAGTCAACTCACTTTACGGTATATTCTGTGAAGTGCTTTGAGACACCTCGAAGATGTGACAAGGCGCTATATCAAATGCAAGGATAATTATTATTATAAAATGCATCTCTCACTAGCATCAATCAACCTGCAAAATGTGCCAAATGCCCCATAATTTTGGGCAAATATTTCCACATTTTTTTATTGGCCCAGATCAAAGCTCATTCCTATAACACTGGGGATCATTCTCGTGGGTCTCCTCTGCAGTGAACTGTATGCAAACTGTACGCAGTGAGTAGGTGCTTTGTCTCTAGTACCAGGGGAATTACTATAGTGTCGCAATAAAACCTTTCGCATATATCTTTAATTAGACTGAAGATGAATGTTGTGAATTTGGTAACACTAGATTGTAACGAGAATAATTAAAAGTACCTGTAAAATGTTCATGTCCGTTAATTATTAATCATTTTCTGAACACCAATTAATTTCTTTTAAAAATCTACACACATTTTGTTTAGTAAGAACTGAATAAAGGACTGTTTTTTGCTCAGTATGTGGGTAATTCCAAGAAAGTCACATTAATTACAATACAAACGTACATTATTTTCTGGAAATTAATTCCATTTTGTACTAAAAAAAAGTGAAACCCTCTACTGTCAGAATGGTTATGTGTAGGGTAAGTTCTACTTGGTCATTTAAATGGAAATGACATGACAACACCATTGAGCTTGTTCCTGCTTTCCATAAATGTTATTTTTTTTGGTCAGCCGGATGTCTGACACATGCGAAAACCTATGCTTAACCCATACACAACACCCAGCGATAGATTGCTGGAATGGAATGTGCACTCTCTCCCTGGAAGGACACATCCCACTTACCTAATTCCGGAACGACAACAACTTTCACTTATATAGCATCCTCCACGCAGGGTAGCAACTGTGGCAAAGCCTGACTACGAGCGACTCCGGGGGTGTGTGATGGGGGGGAGGTGACCGGAAGCACGATTAAAAAAGGAAGGTTTTCATACAGGACTTGAAAAAGGGGAAAGTGGGCAAGGCAATGAGGGAGAGTGTTCCAGAATTTCGGGGCTGAATGTGCGATCATTAATTGTGGAGTGGAGGATTCGAGGGACAAAGAGGAGGCTGGTGCCAGTCATGTGGAGGTGTCGGGTGGTGGATTGGGGAGTGAGGAGGTCGGAGAGGTAGAGAGGTGCCAGGAAGTGAAGGGATTTGAACACAAGTGTGAGGTTCTTGAAGTCGATCCATGATGGGGAGCCAAAACAAGTGAGGTGGGGGTACAGAGTTTGGTCGGGATCAGTAATGCAGGCAGCAGAGTTCTAAATGAGCTGGATTTTAGAATAGTGGAACTGGAGAGACTGGCGAGGAATGCGTTTGAGTAATCCTTGCGGGAGGTGACAAAACACATGCACGAGGGTTTCTGAAGCATTTGGGTTAAGGTACGGTGGGAGGTGGGCAATGTGGTGGAGGTAGAGGAAGGTGGTCTGGTCAGGGACCAGATGTGGAGAAGGAAGGACAGCTGGGGGTCGAACCGGCGCCTAGAATGCACACTGGTTCAGTGAGCGTGAGGGAGAGCCCAGGGAGTTCAGATCTGCAGGAGTGAAGACGTCGCCGGGAGCTATGGCTTCCGTCTTGTCCATATTCAGCTGCAGGAAGTTTGCACTCATCCAGACCCTGATGTCTGCCAGACAAGCTGATAGAGCATCGGTCATATTGGCAAGAGCCCTGGCTTGGGGACCCCAGGTTGTGTGTTGGGGTACTGCTGGAGGCTAACCAGTTAAGCAGCAAAGCTTGCCATTGATATTGCTGTCTGGCAAGCTTTCCCACTGCTTGTCCAGCTAGGACCACCCTACCCGTTGGGGCTTGGCTTGCAGGGTTAATGGGAGCTGAGTGGGAAGAGTCTCTGCCCCCAGTGACTGGTCTGCCTTTCCAGGTCCTGACAATGAGCCAGGCTGGGCTGTGCTGCCATCAGCAGTGCCCTGGAATACTGCAGACCTGCCGAGCTCAGGAACCGGAACACCAAGACTGCCACAGAAGGCTCTGACATTCTGACAGCCCGTTGCCAGGCATGTCACCTTGGAGCCAGTTCAGCTCCTAAATGTCAAATAGATTAACTGAGATTAAGATAATACTAAAACAAATTCCTTGCATTTGATATCCTGTGAAGTGCTTCTTGTGAAGATGATACAGAGGTTGGATGGGTTAAGACCATGGAAGTGAGGGTGAGAATTTTGAATTTGATCTGCTGGCGGACGGAGAGCCAATGGAGCCGAGTAAGGATGAGGGTGATTGGTTCACAGAGCCTGGTCTAGTCATAGTGAAAAAGCAGTAATAATAAAATCACTGCCATTAATAAGTCACATATAGTACAATACAAATTTATACAGTGCCTTTCACATCAGGAGGACATCCAAACGTCCAAGGTTTGCACCCGAGCTGGGGGTTGAATTCAGAGGGGGAAGGAGGGGAGGGAATGGGAAAAGATGGCTGGATACGTGGTCAAAGAGAAAGGTCTTGAGCTGGGCGAATAGAAAAGTGTGGCGGCACTTTTCCCGCGGAATCCGATATAAACACCCTTCACTACAAACCCGCTATAAATGAAGTTTCTGATCCACAGGCTGCTCGCTGGTTACCTGACGTCACTGTGAGTGGAGCGGCTCCAGATTTGCATGCTCGATGCAGCACAAGCAGCAAATGGGTTTCACTCGGAGGCCCTGCTGCCGTGATTGTCTGTGTATTTGTGATTGTGAGTGTCTGCGTGTGTCTCTCTATGTGATTGTGAGTGTCTGTGTGTGTCTCTCTGTCTGTGTTTGTGAGTGTCTGTGTGTGGTGTCTCCATGTGTTTGTGAAGGTCTGTGTGTGTGTCTTTGTGTTTGAGTGTATGAATGTGTCTCTCCATGTGTTTGTGAGCGTCTGTGTGTCTCTTTGTGTTGTGAATGTGTGTGATTATGTCTCTCTCCACATGTTTGAGTGTCTGTGTGTGAGTGTCTCTCCTCTGTATGTATGTATGTTTGTAAGTGTGTCTGGGGGCGTCTCTTCTATATGCGTGTGTGTTTCTGAGTGTCTGTGTCTATGAGTGTGTGTGTCTCTCTCTCTCTCTCTCTGAGTGCGCGTCTCTGTGTTTGTGAGTGTGTATGTCTCTTTGTGTCTGTATGTGGGCCTCTCTCTGGGTCTACATGCAGTACCGACCCTGAGAGGCAGGAGGTGGTGAGCTCCTGTAGCTTCTCTGGTGTCGTCGTCACCCCTTCCAAAAAAGGCCCACTCAGTTTATGTTAAAGAAGTAATTAATATTTTTTTTGCAACAATCTATTATGTGTTATTTCCTCATGTTTAGTTTTTATCAATAAAGTGAAAAAATGTAGATTGGCAGTAAAATGTACCTCAATAGCACCATTGATCTCCCTGAAATTTTCTGCAAAATTTGTCAAAAACTCCCCCGCAATTTCGAGCGGGATATGGGGGAGGGGATTAGGAGGGTTTGTGTGGCATGTACATACCAGCACTGACAAATCAGGTCGTCTTGACTAATTTCATGTGAAATTAATAGTTGTGAACAAACTGCAACTAAGTGCATGAACTGTACAAGATTATCAAGGATCATTCGAGTCCTATGTGGTCACACTGCCTTTATTCAGAAGTCAGACATATATCAATGCACTAATATACCTCCAAAGTTGATGAAGTGACATCTCTGCAATCACAGGCGTAAAAATAGAACAAAGGCTACATTTAAAGTGTGCCCGTTTTTATAATCCACCACCTGATCAGGAGCAGATAGGAATTGATTTGATTTATCGATGGAATCACTGGTATAATAATCCTTGCATTTAGTAGAGCGCCTTATCACATGATAAAAGATGTCTCAAGGGATCATCACAGGATTTACTGTGAAGTGGAATGGCTATGTATTTGTAGGCAAACGCAGCAGCACGATTGCTGGCTCCCCATCCCTCAAAGGATTCATTTCAAGATCCTTGTCATAACTTTTAAATCCCTCCACGGTCTTGCCCCTCCCTATCTCTGTGACCTTCTTAAACCCTACCAACCTACCTGCTCCCTTTGCTTGGTAGACAATAGTCAGCTTCACATGCCCCAACCTGCCAGCCCCACCATCAGCAGTCAGGCTTTCAGTCTTTCTGCCCCATTCTCTAGAACTCCACCCTGGAATCCTTTCGCCTCACCCCCTCCCTCGCCTCCTTCAAGGTCTGAGGTCTAAAGACCTTCCTCTTTGACTGTGCCTTCGATCATCTTTCCCCCACCCTACTCAATCTTGGCCCCACTCTCCCGAATTCACCACCTGCTCAAGTGCAAATCCTCGATTGTCAGGACCTTGGGATGTCCTCCTGATGTGAAAGGCTCTATATAAATGTAATTTGTGGGTGGTTGTTTTACATGTATTTTGGTGTGTGCACCCAGACGCACACATAGCACATTGAGAACGACACACAAGGTATTCAGCCAAATACTGTACTGACACACAGCTGATTATATCATGCCTGTACTTCAGAACACAATACTTACAAAAAGCTGCAGGAACTTTAAGATTCTCTTGTGAGTGAGGATATAAAGTGCGTTTCCACTGATAGGGTCGATGACTGGCAACCGGTGAATTTTGTTCTTGATGAGTGAATACACTGCATCAAAGAGGCTAAAAAGAACAAACATTCAGTGAAGAACAGCAGGGCACAGCAACATGTCAGTCCTTCATAACAAGTCTTATATCAAGCACCAATACAAGAGATATATCCAGTGAAACCTTGCCGTAACATAAAACAACAACCTGCGTTTATATAGCACCCTCTGGAGGCTGTTCATGATGAGCCAATAAAGTATTCTGAACATTTGAGTAAATAATAATCCTTACATTTGATATATACTATCTTTCAGTTTGGGAGGATGTCTCAAAGCTCTTTACAGGATTTACTGTAAACTGTAGTGACTGTATTTTTGCATTTATCTGCCAGTGTCAATTCTTTAATATACCTGAGTCAAATCAGGTGTAACGCCAGAGGCTCATCCAGTCCATGTTACCTCATGACCACATATGACCTCATGACCACACATGACCAGACTACAAAAGCCTCCATTTCTAAACCCACCAACCATCAACCAACTCATTAATCGCAGCCAGGTCAGCAGACTTTATACTGACCTCAATACAACAACAACAAAATTACATTTGTATAGCGCCTTTCACAAATAAGATTAAAAGAAAATAAACATTCATCCGCACATTTTACCCACCTTGCATCTGGTGATATGTTCACTAAAGGCTTAAATGTTTCTTGCAAATAAAGCTCTGAGGAAGAAAAACAAGGCACGGGTGAGGGACAGTGGAAAAGAGGTGTCGCGTATCACAAGTATCCGAGAGATCACATGAACATTTATGAAGTCAGAACCATTGTGTGCCAAGGTGGATTCCAGGCACTGGATGTACGAACGCCGTTATGCCACCAATTAAGAGTCCTGTAGCTTAGTGGTTAGAGCTCTTGCCTCGTAAGCGATTTGGATTTGATTCCCGGAAGGGCGAAACGTTGAGCAAGTTTCCTTACTCCACACGCTTGTTTACCTAGCAGTAAGTAGAAACCCGGTTGTTAGTTGATTGGCATATTGCTTTTCCGGGGGTAATAATTAGTTAAAAAATAATAATAATTTGGTCACTTAATCCACAAAAGTTTGTGAGACACTGCTGTGTGCAATTGACTGCTGCGTTTTGCCCACAAAACAGTCAATTGACTTTACAGTATATTCTGTGAAGCGCTTTGAGATGTCTCGAAGACGTGATAAGGAGCCTTGTTGATTGATTAATCAAATAATATCACTTCCGTGGAATATTTCAATTAGATAACAGGTGGACACTGTGCCTCTGGATGAACAAACATGAACTGAAATTATTAAAATAAAGCAACTGCACAGCTGTTCTGCATCCTCACCATTAGGTGGCGGAGCATAGTAGCTTTTAGATTAGTTTTACCTTTAAAAATTAAGTGGAGAGTTAGCTTTCTGGCTAAATGAAGACATGATGCATTAAAAAGTAGAACAAGATGAGACAGGTTTACTGTCACAAAGGGACAGAGAACAGGAAGTTTCTCTTTACTCGGAGGGTAATATCAGACTGGAACAGGTTGCCAGGAAAGTTGTTCAAGGCCAAGACACTGGGACTCATTTGAAAACAGCTTGACGCTGTGATGGGAAGACAGTATTAATAATAATATTCTAGAGGGATGAGCTGAAATGGGCCAATCTTCTAAACCTTTCATCCAAACCAATCTTGTAATCAGAATTTCTGATTACATTTAATTCTGATTACATTTGCCGACAGTTTTATAAAGCCTGAATCAGTGTAAAATACAAGGTCCTGTTATGGCTATTTCCAGTGTCCAAGAGATCCTATTCCTAAATGGTATTGCAGACACCTTCATTGGTTAACAGACTTTAGCTGTGAAAATTACAACCTTGACTCAGCTCATCAATATAAAGGTTTTGTAATTTCATAAGGACTTAAACTGCTGTAAGTATGAGTATCACATAAAACATTGTATTAAACCTGTACATGTCTCGCCTTCCAATCAAGCAATTTCTCTTCAAAAGACTGATCAATGCCCAATGTATTTCAGGGGAGAAATGTACTCTGTACAATATTAAGCAGCTGTTTATATTCACCTCTCCATGATTCAATCTTGTGCTCCTCCAGTTCATAGATTTGTACCTAATGGAAGAAAATGTACAAGCCATTAAAATGTACCAGACCTATTTAAGGTCTAACATAATAGGTTTATTCCTTTGTGCTGTCGATTTTAATGAAGGGGTCAACAACGAGGACAGATGATAAAAGCACATCACATTACAAATGAGCAAACTGCACCCATTAAATTGAGACTCAAGGTGGAAATCAAACTGGTCACAAACTCAAACAATGAAGGGGGCAGTCAAGGGAGCTTGAGCTTAGAGGGTTTGATTTAAACACAGGGAACCGTGAATAGCATGGAATGGACTATTTGAGGAAGAAGATTTGTGTCAGTAAATATAAGGGGGAATTAGACAGCTGAGGGTACAAGAGATACAGTGCCCAAAATTAAGTATTCATTTTGGAACCACTCAGAGAGGCAGTATTGGTCTTTTAAGGTCCTGTGAATTCCTATATTCCTAATAAGGTTCAAATGCTGTGGCATATGAGCTCATAGTCTAGGCCGACAGTCCAATGCAGTTCTAAAGGGAGCGTTGCATCGTAGGAAGATTCTGTCCTTCAGTGAAAGGTTAAACCGAGGTCCCATCTGCCTGTTCAAGTGTATGTTAAAGATCCAATGGCACTATTTGAAAAGAGAAGGGAGTCTGTCTGGATGTCCTGGCAAATGATGCCCTAGAAAAAATGGTCATTCCCTTCATGGCTGTTTGTGAGACATTTGTGCGCAAAATGGCTGCCGATTTAATAATAATAACCCATGCATTCAATATACTCCTTATCACTTCAAAGTCTCCAAGCGCTTCACAGGCTATACTGTAAAGTGAATTGACTGTATATTTTGTGGGCGAAACACGGCAGCCAATTGGGCATAGCAATATCCCACAAACAGTTGTGGATTGAGTGACCAGCTCTAACCACTACACTACAGGACTCCATATACAAAATACACGTGCTGTATTTCAGAGTACTTCACGTGAAGCACTTTGAGACACTCTATCAAATGCAAAAATTATTACTGATTAAGTTAATGTACTCAGACAAAACTGAAAAAAGGAGGATTTTACTTTTGATCTCCCTTTCTTACAGGCATTGTTGCATAGGAAAATACCAGGCACATGGTGATAAGAAACAATATCTTAAAACGCTGCATCACTCAGAGGGGAATGGCAAAGGAATGATGGATTTATCCAACAAGCGACGCTGCCTCCAATTAATATTTTCATTTCAGGTTCATAGATCTTTACACAAAAAAAATTCCTGCTACAGGCATCTGTATGAAAACCTCAAAGTAAATCACATCCATCAAATAATACAATATTAAAACTATACAGTAATTACTTCTGCTAAGTATAAAATGCAGTTTTAAAACTTCAGGTTCACAGAATTCAACTTAACTAAATGCTTTGGAAATGAACTGAAAATACTGTCAGAGAAGGGGGGAATCCTGTACACTTGAATTTTTTGGCAAGGTACGCAAGGACATTTCACTGAAACGTGGACAATTTGCTAAAAGTTACTTAAATGTTACACGATTTTACAAACACCTTTTTATGACAGTGATAAATAACAATCCTTGCATTTATAATAATAATCCTTGCATATGATATAGCCCCCCCATCACGTTGTTGAGACGTCTCAAAGCTCTTCACAGAATCAACATTTGATAATCTGAACAGGCAAACAAAGCAGCACCCCGGATTAACATCTCATCTGAAGGATAGCTCCTTCCCAGCACTGCACTACAGCGTTAGCCTAGTTTAGGCTCATGAGTATAAACACTAGCACGGGCCAAGTGGACTAAATGGCCTGTTTCCATGCCGTATTGTTCTATGTAATTCTATGTAAATGCCGTACATGCTCCAAAGAGAAATCCTGAACCTATTTTTGTTGTGTAATCTCAAAGTATTTAAATGGTTACATGTAGAAGCTTTTATTTTTAACATCCAGAAGGCGTTTAACCTCCAGCACTACATTGAAATGACAGCCTAGATTTGTGTGAGTTTAAATCCTGATGTTTTGGGGCTTAAATGGACAATCTTCTGACTCAGAAGTGAGAGTGCTGGAATCCTGCGAAGGACATTGAGACGTTTCAACAACGATAAGGTGCTATACCAAATGTAAGTATTATAATTGTAACTAAGACCTCTAAAAAAAAGGTCTTGGTTGCAATTATAATCCTCACATCCGACAACAATTTTATATATACATAGCACCTTTCACATCGGCTAGGAGCCCGAGCTGGGGGTGGGAGGAGCTGAAAAAAGGGGAGAGTGAAGAGGTGACAAAAAGCATGGTTGAAAAGAAAGGTCTTAAGACCGACTTAACATTAGCATTTTCATTCAGAGAAAGAAAAGGACCAAGAATTTATGGATTGTAGAGACAGTATCATTCAAGAGATGTATAAAATACCACCACTTGGATTTATATACAGCACCCTTCATGCAGGGTAGAGTCTCAGATCGCTTAAACACATTTACCGCACATTCACACGTCAGCATCAACTATATATAGTTTGTCTACAAATTACAATCATTAAACTTTACAGAATATTGGGTGAGGTGCTTTGCTTCGCAAGTAAGAGGACCTGAGTTTGATTCCTGGGCGGGGGAAACCTTCGGCAAATTTCCTGACTCCAAATACCTCAGTTTATCTGGCAGTAAGTAGTAACCCGGTTGTTAGTCGATTGGCGGATCACTTACCATGGTTAATAATCTTTCAAAAAAAAATAATTTGTCACTTAATCCACAATGGTTTGCTGTGCCCTATTGGCTGTTGCGTTTTTCCCACAAATACACAGTCAATCCATTTCGCAATATATTTTGTGAAGCACTTTGAGACGTATCAACGATGTGATAAGGTCCTATACCAAAAGTCAGGATTCTTAGCATTATTTATTATATATATTATTATATATAAAATCTAGATTACTAAACACAGCACCTTTCCTTGCACTGGTATGATTGCAATGTGCTGTAAAAGAGAAAAAGATTTTGCATGTTCATGCAGGAACCCTGGGTCATGCAGATTCCTTCATTAGGGATTATATGACAGGAACCAAGCAGCAATTTAATATGCTGAGAAAATACAGAAGCACGGAACACAACACACATGGCAAAGTTTGGCTTTCCCCCTGAGTCAAGTTGAGGGAGTCTACAATTTGTTCTTTTGAGGAAGTAAAGATTCAGCCTTTACTGTCCTCGCAATCTAGACTAACACTCCAATGCAGTACTGGGGGTAGGGGATTGCATAGCTGGAAGTGCTGTTAAACTGAGGCTTGTAGTGCTAAACAGTGACAGAGCTTGATGCCAAACCAGGGAGAGAGAAGAGGTGGCCATACAGACAAAGAAACACCTAAATTGCCTGCCAACATCACCTGCAAAATACTGCAGTCACTACACTTTGCAGTATATCCTGATATCCTGTGAAGCTCTTTCAGACATCCTTCTGATATGAAAGGCTCTATATCAAATGGTCCCTCAAAAAACTTCAGACCATTGTGTGGGAAAGGGGGTGGGGGACATACAAGAGGATGTTGGGAGTATGTGAACTGGGAAAAAGGCATGAAAATGGGGCTGAAATGATTGTTCTTTCAGAGAGCCAGCGGACAGGGTATAATGGGCCAAATGACTGTAAATTTCTGCGGTTCTAAAAGCTTAGGATCAATCCACTGGGAAGGAAAGTTCACACACTCCGACCAGTCAATAATCAAAGACAGTTTCACAAGTTTTGATGATCTAACATCAGGTGTCTTTCACCACCTAGTTCCTTTTTCAGCCTCAGCTGCTGGAGTGAAGTTTGAAGATGAGCAGCACTTACCATGGGTGACTTGTAGTATCTGTGGAGTATGTTTATGAAGTCTGTTATCGTTAACATTCCTAAGGGGAAAAGAAAACATATGTGTCCTTAGCAGCAAGCGAATCATTTTTATGGAAGGTTCAGAAGCCCTGGTGTCTAAAAGGGTTCCCTATAAAATTAATGACTTGGTGCCGTTTGAATCCTGGCAGTCAAAGCTCATTGCTGACTGACCGGGAGCATTTAACTAAAATACACAAGCGAGAAGGGAAAAAGAGGGGATTAGGATGGGTGGAGGCTCATGTGGAGTATCAACTCCACCCAGCACGGATGGCCTGTTTTTGTGCTATAACATTTTATGTCAACATTTCACTGAGCCAATACAGAACTTTGGCGTCCTGTTTGACGCGAAACTGTCCATCATATCCCACAACCGTGCCAATGATCCGGTCCGCCTTTCCCCACCTCCGCAACATTGCCCGGCTCCACCATTGTCTCACGCTGCAGGCTCCCGAGACCCTCATACATGCTTTCATTACATCGAGGCTCGACTATGCATAACTCCCTGCTTGTTGGCCTCCCCAACTCCTCCATCCACAGGCTGCAGATCATCCAGAACTCTGCAGCCCGTGTCCTCTCCCGCACTAGGCTCCGTGACCCTATCACCCCCATCGTTACCCAACTCCACTGGCTTCCCATCATACAGAGGATACAGTTCAAGATCTTGGTCCTCACTTTCAAAGCCCTCTATGGTTTTGCTCCCCTCTACCTCTGCTCAGAGGGCTTCGGCCTGCTTCACATCCCCCCACCTTGCCTGCCCCACCATTGGCAGGCGAGTCTTCAGCCACTCTGCTCCCACCCACTGGAACTCCATCCCCCAGTCCCTCTGCCTCGCCCACCCACCCCTTGCCTCCTTCAAGACCCGTCTGAAGACCGACCATGCCCTCGATCACTTTCCTTCCGGCACTGCCCTCCACCCTCCCCGATCCTGACCCCCAGCTCGGGTCCCAAACATGCATTGTCCAGTACCTTGGGACATCCTCCCAATTTGAAAGGCTCTATACAAATGTAATTTTGTCGCTGTTATTCTTACCCGCATGTCTCCTCACTTCCCCCACCCTTCACTTTCGAGCTCTACAATCGATCTCCAATTCCTTCATGACCCCTTCTTCAATCAAGTATTTCATATGTGTGGCCTTATTGCCTGTGGTTTTCTACGATATGTATATTTCATTTGCAAATACAAGCCAACCCCATACTAACATGATGATTTGGGTCTACAAACTCAGTCTAGTGTGTTACGAGGTCCGCCAGCCTGGTCACCCCTTCTGTCACATACACAGGAAATACACTGACAGCACTTCCTGTGTGTTGTGCATGCACTCCATGCAGAGAAACCCCCCACTGACATAACTTTGTGCAGAAATCAACTCCCCCCCTCGCCCCACACACACATCATTTGGATGTGATTTTTAATGTCTCTGTGGTGTATTTGAAAAATAAACTGAGATTAAAAATGAACAGCCCTACCAGCTGCGAATGAAGAGATACAAATTTCAACTTTAAGCATGTTAAAGGCAGAATAATACAAGGTCCAACAAAATTATCATGGAAACTAGGCTGATGACTAAATGTTAACAATTTTAACCACTTAGGACCTGCAGTATGAGATTAACATCCAGTCTTGCAGTGTTCAGTTTCTTAAACTGCATGCCTTCGCAGAACAGAACCAAAGCCTTAAATAGAAGCACAGATTGTGCTGAAGGGGCAAAGAGGTTGTGGGAAGGAAGCCACATTTCTCAAACTACTACAATAATCATTGCATTTAATATAGTTCTTTTCATATTGGGAGGAGTCTCAAATCACTTCAAAGGATACATTGTTACAGGGAATCCTCACACTCGTGTTCAAATCCATTCACTCCCTGGCACCTCCCTACCTCTCCGGCCTCCTCACTCCACCACCCGGCACCTCAGCTCGACTGGCACCAGTCTCCTAGTTGTCCATCGTACCCTCTGTTCCACCATTGGAGGTCGCGCATTCAGCCACTATGCCCTGGAACTGTGGAACACTCTCCCTCAATCCCTTCATCTTGCCCCCTCTCCCCTTTTTTAAGTCCCACCTGAAAACCTTCCTTTTCAATCGTGCTTATGGTCACCTCCCCCACCCTCACCGGCTTGGGAGTCAGGCTCCGCCACTGTTAAGCGCTCTGAGACACTACACTGCATGGAGGGCACTATATAAGTGCAAGTTGTTGTCGTTGTAAAGTGTCGTGACTGTGCATTAAGTGAACAGAACAGCCAATTTGTACACAGCAATGTCCCACCAACAGCCATGGAGTAAGTGATCAATTTTATTTGGGGGATTGTTGGCCAAAACTGTTTTCCAATAGAGACATGGAATCCTTAACATCTACCTAAACAATCCCTTCATGCTCTAGCATCTTTGATCTTCTACTCCACTTCTCCACTCATCTAGAAATGGCTTGCTGCATTCCCTGCCCTCCATCACCATCAGTGGACAAGTCCTCAGATTCTATGCCCCTAACTTGTGGACCTCCCTCTCCCTACCATTCAGCAGTCTACTGATTGCCATGTTTATTGGTCCCTCACATAAAAATAATAATCCTTGCATTTGATATAGCTCCTTATCACGTCGTTGAGGCATCTCAAAGCGCTTCACAGAATATACTGTAAAGTGGATTGACAGTATTTTGTGAATTGAGTGACCAAATTATTTTCTAATCCACCCCGCTTTAAGCCCCTCTCTTCCCATCTCCCTTGTATATACATCAAGCTTTATCTTAAATATGTTGATGCTTTTTTTTGCCACAATCTCACACCGTTCCACATTCTCACCACCCTCTCGTGTGAAGAAGATCCTTCTAAGATCCCTATTTAATCTACTAGGTAATCTTTTATCATAATAATTTGGTCACTTAATCCCCAACTGTTTGTGTGACACTGCAGTGCGCAATTGGCTGCCGTGTTTCGCCCACAAAATATTCAGTCAATTCACTTTACAGTATATTCTGTGAAGTGCTTTGAGATGTCTCAACAACGTGATAAGGAGCTATGTAAGGATCAAATGTAATCACATGTAAGGATTATTATTAAAAATGCAAGTATTATTTTTTTGGACTTGCTGGATAAATGTCATCTGAACCATTGGGAAATGTGCAAAGCAGCCAGCAGTTTCCGGAACGTAAACCAAAATTATCGAACATCTTGGTGCAGTGGTACCAGAAGACTCTTCTGTTCTCAGTTATGCTCACCCAGTCTATCTAAGGTATCTGGCAGAGCCAGTGAATTTTGTCTGCAGGATATAAATAGCATTGGGCGCTGAGCAATTCTGGTTGTCTGGGTTTCTTGCAAGTGGATGATTATACTAACATAGTTTCCCAGGTCTCTTACAGTGCACTGAGAGTAGAGTTCCTTCCCACTCAGCTCCCATTAACCCTGCAAGGAAAAGAACTAATGGGTAGGATAGTCCTAGCTGGACAAGCAGCAGGAAGCTTGCCAGACAATGCTTTCAATGGCAAGCTATACAGTGTTAGCTGGTTAACCCAAGTCTTAGCTCTTGTCAACCTGAGCCTTCAGTTACTTACCTACCTTCCTGCTTCCTCCGTTCGGCAGGTACTGGCCCCTCCATGTTGACGCACACTGCTCCCTCCCATTGGTGATCAGGCCTTCAGCCTTTCTATCCCCACCCTCTGCAACTCCACCCCAGATTACCTCCACCTCACTCCCTCCCTTGCCTCCTTCAAGGTCCATCTCAAGCCCTTCAGTCATCCTCCCATCCTGTACCCCTCTTGATTCCAACCCCAGCTCAGGTGGAAACCTTTCTCTATTCTTTCGCTATCCATTGCCGTGGGACATTCTCCCTAAGTGAAAGGCGCTAAATAAATGTAATTTGTTGTTGTTGTTGTGAATACTTTCCAGCATTAAGTAAAACAAGCGCGTCCTTCCAAGGAGATAATGTGCAGTCCATTCCAGACACAGGATATTTCCACACATTAGGTGGCATACATATTTGGAACTCTCAGTCTGGTTGGATACCCTCAAGGAGGATGATGAGTTTCCGCACGAGTTAAGACACATGACTGACCCAAAAAAGTCACATTTTACAATGAGGAATATATGCTGTCAGATCTTGACTTTTTAATCACCATCCGTCTTTTTTCAATGTTATAACTCTCAAGCAGTCACTGATATCTGCATACATCAGAAGTGGAACGATTAATTGCACTCTAGAATTTAAAGCCTTAGCTTTGAGTAATTCTGTTACATGCTAAGAATGTAGTTTTATAATCACAGTCGCTGGCAATTTAATATTCAGATGGCTGGCTGAGTCTCAAGCTATTTCTTAATTCTATTTGGAAAGTTTGGAGCTTTATTTCTCTGGAGATGAGATGTTTGAGAGGAGACCCGACAGAGGTATTTTAACATTATGAAAGGATTCAATAAGGTGAACGTTAATCACTTGTTGGTGAATCCAAAACCACTTGTTGGTGAGTCCAAAACCAGAGGGAGTTTTTATTTATGAGATAGCTGCTAGCAGATGTAATAATAATAATCCTTGCATTTAATATAGCACCTAGGCTTAATGGTATAAATATGTTGTATTCAAATGCCAATTACGCATGACAATGCCTGTGATTTCAAATCCTTTTCCCGCAAAACTGTGCTTTCAGGTCAGAACTTAAGTGATTTGTATTCACAAAAAATTGTTAATCTGTACCCTCATTTCATTTATTCCACTAACCCTTCACCCAACACACACACGCACTTGCAGCCGGTAAATGCACATGCAGGATATTACTGTAAAGTGCAGTGACTGTGTATTTTGTGGGCAAAAACGGCAGTCAGTTGTGCACAGCAATGTCCCACAAACAGCCATAAGTGACCACTTTTTATTTATGGGATTGTTGGACAGGACACCGGGAAAAACTCCCTTCTCTTTTTGAATAGCGCCGCAGGATCCTTAACATCCATCTAAAGATGCAGACAGGAACTCAGTTTAGGGACTCAAAGGAAAGAGTCCCAACCTTGTCCAAGAGGGTTCTTCCCACAAATGAGAAGAA